CTATTTCTTTCTACAGAAAGTTTTTGTCATGCCAAACATGGATGATGTCTATGTCCCCATAATGCACTCAGCCATGGACCCTCGCTCCGCTTCCTGCCTCCTCAAAGACCCACTTGTGGAGGCTGCTGATCAGCTGTGATGGGTGAAGATCTGACCTTCCCAGTATTATGAGACCTAGCGAAAGGTGTGGGGTTCTTGGCTGCCTTCTGTGCTGTAGCACTGGCCTCTCCTCGTGCCACAGCTTCTGCCCTCCGCCTGCTGGTGCCCATTCCACCGCGAGGTGTCATTCCACGCGTCCAGGAACTGGTCTCTGGGTTGCCGGCTGCAAAGCTTTGACTCAGCAAAGGAGACTGTAGAAGAATCACCACAGTGGATCCAGAGGCTACAGATGACTCACACCATGGCTTTTTTGAGTCTACCAGTTTTTGTGGCAGCAAAAGAACACAGTTAAGAGTAAAGCTGTACAACTGGAAAGCTTTCCCCTTGCCTTGACTCCTCCAAAGCTTTTCCTCAGGCAGCCAGTGCACAATGGAACATTTTCTCACTTTTACAGTTTGTGGGGGATGCAGCCCTCCACACTACCAGAGAATGTCAGTTCAGGAACATGTGGAGGGTGGGGAGTGGAATTTTGTGAACCATTTCATTGATGATAAAGAGATACACATAGCAACTTTTCATATTGTGCATTTTGGAAGCAAGTAGCCATAGAACACACATACACACACACACACATTTGATCAACTGGGGTGGGGACAGTGGTATTTGTGAACATTAGGCAAAGCCATGAGATCAAACCATCCCAAGCCTTCTATCAATGAGATACAATCACCTGATTTCTAACTAATCCCAAACGTTTTCCTGTGACATGAGCATGTGTGAAAATGTCCAATACTGCACATGAGTGGATTGGGGTGTGGGCAGAAAGCCAGAGCCACAGCTTTCTATCCGGCACCTCCAATGTGCTCTGTGCTTCATATAGGCATCTTAAATGCTTTGTTCATCTAACTGGTTTAGGGTATTTTGAGGTTGTGGGCAGTTTCCTCTTCTGACAGCCAAAACGGAGAACTCTCTTACCACCTTTGAGAGTCGAGACCAAGTTTGCTCAACATTAAACACTACATTATCTAAAAATCCATGTGACCTTTCTTTAATGTTGCCAACCTTATTTTGTGCATTTGTGCCAGAATCTTTAGTTTACAAGTTTGGGGGCTCTCTAGTTGCATAATTTGCTTTGAGAAGTACTCTTAAAACAATTTTTTTGTTTAAAGCTGCATTCAACATCAAAACTACCGTGGGTAACTTTTGATAACTTACATCTGTGGACAAAGCTAATAGTGGTTTTTTAAACAGCACCTTGCCTGAACATGACTTTAAAGAAATTAATATATTGAAAAAATATATTTGAACCCTTGATTACTTTAAATGCACCATTAAACGTTGACTTAAATTATTTGATCATTCCAGTTGGTGTACTGTTCTAATTTCTCAGTGTGTAGGCCGATTTGCCTGTCAGTCCGCATGTCTTGTTCACTGGTCTATAATTTTTGTGCAATAACTAAAGGCAAAGGACTAGATGCACTACTGTGTAAAGAGATTACACGACTACCCTGTTGCACTTAATCAAATAGTATGTGGGGATTTACAGTCGCTTGCGTTGTTTCACAAAATAAATATCTCAATGTCAAATACTAGATAAGCATCCAAGTTATTTCTACTCAATCCTTTTTGGGTAATAGGGAGAGAATAAACCGTGTGTAGAGGTCACTTGGGCACTCAGCTGCCAAAGCAGCTTACATTTCCTGGGTGATCACCAGATGGGCTTTCTAATACTGCAAAGTGGTCCTCACCTCAGCGGATTTTAAAATACCCAAGGGACAGTCTGGTTTCTGTGCTGGATCTTACACCCTCAATAGCCTCGTTAATCCTGTGAACTTGGAGCGCCCTGCAGTTACTACACACCAAAGCAGTTTAAACACTGCCCTCATGCATCCTGGCCTTTCAACAGTGCTGCTTTGTACTCAGAACTGATACACCTTTCACCTAAACCCAGGTGAGATGGCTCATCACCACCAATCACCTGGACCGGGAAGGAGTGTGCATTTACTTAGGTGCCTGATGTGACCAGAAATGCATAAAATTTAATTCACCTTTACAACGACCTTCTTCAGGCTAACTGGGCTAATTTGTCCAAAGCCTTTATCCCCATGCTCAGCACAGTATACAAATAAAAACTGGCCCTAAATGGTAGTTTTTCTAAATGGGTCGCTGCTATACTTTAGCCCGGCGAGTTTTTAAATTCATGCAGCTTCAAGACTGAAACCAGTTCCGGGGCCCTTAAACTGCTCACACTTAGCTGCCGCCCCCCCCTTCAGAGGCCATCCACGCCGCGGTTAACCTGCAGGTCTCGAGATCACGGACGATAGGACTTACAGGAGAGGTACAGAAACGTGCGGGGCACTGAGTAGCAGGGCATCCGGGATCCCCGACGTCTCTCCAGGGCGCTTCAACCTCGGCTAAAAGGACTGAGGCTGGAGTCGTCGCAGTCCCCCCTCCCCGGAAAACCTCCCGCCCCCTGCAGCCGGGTGCCGCCGTGTCGCTCGCGGTTAAAAGGGCCGCCGGCGGGAGAACCAGGCGGCCCCAGTTATGCGCAAGCGCGTACTCTGGCGCTACAGCCTGACCCCCGGCGCCACGCGCAGGCGCAGCGGGGGCTCAAAAGCAGCGCGTCGCGACAAGGAACACTAACAGCAACACCAGCGCTGGGATCAAACCATTTTATTGAAGGGCTTCGGGGAATGGTCCAAGAGGAGGAGGACAGGGAGATGCGACGTCCTCGGCCCGGCCGGAACCTGCAAGAATGAAAGCGGGGGGTTAGCGGTTGTGCGCCCGCAAGCCCGTTCCCTGCCCGCCGCAACCCCGGAGGCCCGGCTCAGATTGTAGTTCGCATCACCCGCATCAGCAGTCTAACACGTGCTTTTTTGGGAGTGTCATCACTGCAGGCCCCCCGCGACCCACCCGGCTCCCGGGCCGACCCGCCGGAGCCCGGTACAGACACACCTCACCTCCTCAACGTCACAGTCCCCGAAAGACCGAGCCCCTTCCTCCGGCTTCTACTTAAGGAGCTGACAGGAGGCAGTTGGGCGGGCCTTACCGGCAGTAACCAATAGCAAGGGACACTTCCGGTCACGTGCCCGTAAAGTAGCCTAAAGAGCGGCCGTGCTCGCTGAGTCCTCCAGAGTATAGAGTGGTCACGTGCCGACCATAGAGATGGGCGTCAAGGGAAGATGTGAGTCTGGATTTCTTTCCGAGTCTAGGTTGCTACCTTGTAATTAGCGCGTCTCTGTACAGTACACCAAAGGGCAGTTTACAAACAGGACGCAACTGAGTCACTTTGAAATGTTCTGTGCCAGGAGGTAGGCTAGGAGCTGAGCATATAAAGGTGACAGTCTAACCTTGTTCCTGAATTGAAAGTAACCTTTTCGGGCAAAAAGAGCCTGTCTTTGAAAGTAGAGGATATGCAAAAAAAAAAAAAAAAAAGAAAGTAGAGGATGTGCAACCAGATCCTGACTTTGTGACGAATTCGTTGTATGACCCTCAATTTGAGAAAAATAGGAATATCCAAAAAAGTTGTGAAGATTAAATGAAATCATGTCGGCTGCCTGGCACATTCTGAGTGGTAAACAAGTAATTGTTTTGTTGGGGTTTTTTTAGATTTTATTTATTTATTTGACAGAGAGAGAGACAGCGAGAGAGGCAACACAAGCAGGGGGAGTGGGAGAGGGAGAAGCGGGCTTCCCGCGGAGCAGGGAGCCCGATGCGAGGCTCGATCCCAGGACCCTGGGATCATGACCTGAGCCGAAGGCAGACGCTTAACGACTGAACCCCCCAGGCGCCCAACAAATAATTATTTTAAAGCACTGCTGTGAGGTGGAAAACTTAGGTGAGTGCAGAGCTTTAATAAATGCTAAAATAGAGCTATGAACAACCTACTGTGGAAGCCCCAAGGAGAGAATGCCTAACTTTGGGAGAGTTAAAAGTACTTCTAAGTACTGAACTCTTAGAGTAAGCCAAACACACTCTTCACTACAGTTGACCCTTGAACAAGGAAGGGGGTGAGGGAGGTGTTGGGGCACCCACCACCCAGCGGTGGAAAATTCCTGACTCAATTATGACTCCCCCAGAGCTTAACTATTAGTAGCCCACTGTTGACCAGAAGGCTTATGGATACATAAGCAGTTAATGAACTCATATTTTGTGTTATATGTATTATATGCTATATTCTTATAATAAAGTAAGCTAGAAAGAAAATCATAAAGGAGGGGCACCTGGGTGACTCAGCAGGTTAAGCATCTGACTCTTGATTTCACCTCAGGTCATGATCGGGGTTGTGAGATCTGCCTCCCATGGGGCTCTTGCTGGGCGTGGATCCTGCTTGAGATTCTCTTTTCCCTCTGCCCCTCCCCCTGATCCTGCACACTCTCTCCCTCTTAAAAAAAAAAAAAATGCATACGTTTGCAGTGCTGTATGGTATTTGTTGAAAAAAAAAAAGGTGGACCCATGCAGTTCAAACCCATGTTGTTCAAGGGTGAATTGTAATGGAGAATAATATGGCACTGCCCTGTGAGAGCTTGATTTACCAGGGGAGAGAACAGCAACCAGTCATAATATCTGGTTTTCTTTATTTCCTTAATGTTCTCTTTGGGAAATCTTTTCCTTTTCTCCTCCTAATTTAATAAGGAAAATGTAGTAAGAAAAGCATTTCAACCTGACCTTGTAGTTAAATTGTACTCTGATTTTCATTAGTTTCGACACAGTCTTTAGTTAAATTTAAAAATTCCTCTATGACCCAAAGTAATGATTATTTTGTCAAATGTCTTGTGACGTCTATGCAGTTATTTTTATTGCTGTTTAAATTTTTATTATTTTCTACATTTATTACATTGTGGTACAGTTTCTACATTAGGAAATGAATACAAGTTTTCTTTGTGGCCTAGAACATCTATTTTTACAAATGTTCCACAGATTCTCAGGGCACCTGGGTGGCTCAGTCAGTTAAGCATATGACTCTTGGTTTCACCTCAGGTCATGATTGTGAGATCCAGCCCCAACTGGGTTCTGTGCTCAGCTCTCTGTGCTCAGCTGGGAGACAGCTTGAGATTCTCTCTCTCCCTTTCCCTCCCCATCTGCCTCTCCCTCCCCGTGTTTCCTCTATTACTCTCTCTCTCACACACACACACATGCACACTCCCTCTCTCAAATAAATAAGTAAAATCTTAAATAAATAAATGTTCCATGGATTCTTGCAACGACAGTGTTTTCACTATCATGTACATTGACATGAAATATTTATTAATTCAACCTTAATTGTGTTGTAATCATATTTTCCAAATGTCTAATTTATACTTGATTGGGAGTATATGTACTGTCACTGACTGTGACGTGTTAAGATTATGCTTCAAGTATGAAATGCTGGGGAGGATGCAAAGCAGCAAGAACTTTGCTCCATTACTATTTGGGAATGCAAAATAGTATATACATTTTGGAAAAGAATTTGGACAGTTTCTTACAAAGTTAACTTACCCAAGAGAAATGAAATTTTATGTTCACACAAAATCCTGTACCAAATGTTTATAACATTATTCATAATGCTTCCAAAGTGGAACTACCTAAAAGCCCTTCACTGGGTGGATCTTAAGCAACTGTGGTACATTCATACAATTGAATGATACTCGGCAATAAAATAGAATGAACTATTGATACATGCAACACTTGCAAGAATCTCAGAGGCATTATGCTGAGTGAAAGAAACCAGAGTCAAAAGATGGTATGATTCCATTTATATGATATTCTAGAAAAGAGAAAACTATAAGAACCAAAAACAGATGAAAGATTTTCCAGGAATTGGAGGTGCAGGAGCATTTGACTACAAAGGTGCAGCATGAGTGCATTTTTGAGGGTGATAGAACTGTTCTGTATCTTGATCGTGATGGTTACATGACTTTATGTATTTGTCGAAATTCATAGAACTATACCCCCACATGGTTTCATATTACTGTAGGACATTTAAAAATAAAAAATTAGGGCGCCTGGGTGGTTCAGTTGGTTAAGCGACTGCCTTCGGCTCAGGTCATGATCCTGGAGTCCCGGGACCGAGTCCCGCATCAGGCTCCCTGCTCGGCGGGAAGTCTGCTTCTCCCTCTGACCCTCCCCGGTCTCATGTGCTCTCTGTCTCTCTCATTCTGTCTGTCTCAGATAAATAAATAAAATCTTTAAAAAAAAAAAATTTAAAAATTATGCTTTAGTCGTTTTCCTTGATTATTTCTATTGTTATTTGCTTGGTATATTTTGAGGCTATGCTCTTTATCTCATTACACTTTGTGGCTGATAATATTCCATCATGGATTTCATGTATCTATGTATAAAATAACACTCATGTTTTTTGCCTTGAGTTCTAATTTGTCTTACATTAACATTGCTACTTGTGTCTTTTTTTGTTTGTTTGTGTTTGCTGGTATAACTTTGCCCATCCCTTTATTTTTAACCTTTCTATGTTACTTTGTTTTTAGTGTGTCCTTTGTATGAGGCACATGGTCGGCTTATCGTATTTAGCCCAATGTGACAATACTTGCCTTTTCAAATTTTTAGTGTGAAATGTCTCTGCATACAAAAGAGTACGTATAAAGTATATGTGTGGTTTGGAGATTATTAATAAATTGAACATTCATATGCTCACCACTTTTAGAAAAATGACATCATCGATAATTTTAAAGCTCACTTTCTGCCCCTTCTGATTCCATCTCCTTCCCACACTCTCAGAGGAAACCACCATCCTGAGTTTAGAGTTTGTCTTGTTTCACTTTTTTTTTTTAAAGTTTTGCTTCATACATTTATATGTTATTTAGTTTTGCGTGATTTTGAGCTTTATAGAAATAGAATATATGTATCTTCTATGACTTACTCTTTTTATTGCGTAATATTGGTGACATTCACGTTGTATGTTTGCAGCTAGTAATTGTACTAAGGCAACCAGATTCACTTCTGTGTAGCATCCCAGTATGCAGTTATATCACTCATTACACATCTGTCCTCTTTATGTTGGATGTTTACAGTACCTACCGTTTTCATTATTGCAAACAAAGCCGCTCCGAATATTCTTGTGTGTGTGCAAAAAAGTTCCTTTGGGGTATGTAGATTGAAGCACAATTGCTGGGTCGTAGGGTAGGCACATTTCCAACTTTCTAGATAATAGCAAATAACTTTTCAAAAATGGATACTGTACTTTGCACTCCCACATTGGCCTCCACCTTCACCAATTCTTGATATTGTCAGACTCTTCATACGTGAGTATAAAATGGTATCTCAGTGTAGTTAAATTTTTAAAGCATTTATTTTTATACGACCATTGACCAATCAGCTGACAATCAGGTTTTATCTTCTGCAGTTGCTCTTTTAAAATCCAACTTTATAAAGAAAAAGAAAAATTCAACTTTACACACAATAAAAGGCACCCACACTAGGTGTCCATTTCCCTAGTTTTTGTTTGTTTGTTTGTTTTTACAAATAGGTACATTTGGGGGCGCCTGGGTGGCTCAGTTGGTTAAGAGGCTGCTTTTGGCTCCGGTCATGATCCCAGGGTCCTGCTCGGCGGGGAGCCTGCTTCTCCTTCTGCCTGCCGCTCCCTCTGCTTGTGCTCTCTCTCTCTGTCAAATAAATAAAATCTTTAAAATAAATAAATGTCTTTTAAAAAAAACACAAAAAACAAATAGGTACATTTGTGTGACCTCCCCCACAATCAAGACACAGAAAATTCTCATCGCTCCAAAATGCTTCTCTCTTGCCTCTTTGTAGTCAGTGCCCGCCCTCTTCAATCACCAACTCAGGCAACCACTGATCTATGTTCTGTTATTACAGAATGACTTTGCCTGTTTTAGATTTTCTTGTAAATGGATTCATGCAGTTTGTACTCTTTCGTGTCTGGCTTCTGTCACTTAAACGAATGTTTTTGAGATTCATCCATATTATCGTATCAGTAATCCATGCTTTTGTGTTGCTGAGTAGGATTTCATCGTATGAATATGCCATCATTTGTTTTTCCATCCACATATTTACAGAATTTGGGTTGTTTCCAGTTTGGGGCTATGATGAATAAAGCTGT